ACATGTCATCCGCTCAAATAACGAACTTGGCCGGGAGCAGTGGCTCAGGCCTGTAATCCCAGCACTTTGGGAGGCCGAGGCGGGCGGATCACGAGGTCAGAAGTTCTAGACCAGCCTGACCATCATGGTGAAACCCCGTCTCTCCTAAAAATACAAAAATTAGCCAGGTGTGGTGGCTCGTGCCTGTAGTCCCAGCTACTCGGGAGGCTGAGGCAGGAGAACCACTTGAACACGGGAGGTGGAGATTTCAGTGAGCCGAGATTATGCCACTGCAGTCCAGCCTGGCGGCAGAGCGAGACTCCATCTCAAAAAAAAAAAAAAAAAAAGACGGTTGTAGAATAGCTCATGATACTCATGAAAACGTTCCAAAAGAAAATAAGGATTTGTTAATGAAACTTGAATAGGAGGCCTAACGAACAAATATGGATCTCAGTTCATACCCTTGAGCATATAAGAAATGTTACATTTTCAAAACACCTTTAAATGAACATCATTATGACTCCCTAGACTCTGATATCCAACCCTAGGATGCTATTGGGAAATCCGCATCAGTTATTACTGGGAAACCCTCATCTCCATTTGTTGTACAGACATTCTTTGGTTTTACCTAGCACCAAAGCCTGAGGAGATCCCTGCTGTCATCAGCCGTCTGTCCATACTGGTTAGGGATAACATGCTCCTTTACTAACCTGGCATGGTGTCTTCAGATCCCTGGTCCCTGCTGCTTCCATCCAACCCTGTGGGTAGTGGTATGTTTGCCAAGACCAGATGACTGGGGTGACCTCTATTCTCTTGCTGCCCTAAAATGCCCTCCATTCCTATGTCAATCCAGGGACATCTGGCTTGGTTTCATCAATGAATATAATCCTTTTCAGAATATATGGGCCGGGCACAGTAGCTCATGCCTGTAATGCCAGCACTTTGGGAAGTCACAGGAGGATTGCTTGAGGCTAGGGGTTCAAGACAAGCCTGAGCAACATAGCAAGACCCAATTTCTACAAAAAAAAAAAATTATCTGGTGTGTGCCTCCAATCCCAGCTATTTGGGAGGCTGAGGTGGGAGGATCCCTTGAGCCCAGGAGTTTGAGGCTGCAGTGAGCCAAGATTGCACCACTGTAGTCCAACCTGAGTGACAGAGCAAGACCCTGTCTAAAGAAAAAAAAAGAAAAGTCACTGGCTTCAAGCAGCTTATACTTCCAGCTCTGCCACAGATCTCCCTCTCTTGGATCTCTGCTGGAAATGGGAGGAGAGAAAAATATAAGAACACAACATGCATGTTAATATATATTTCTCTCTCTCTTTTTAGAAACAGTGGGGTCTCACTCTGTCACCCAGGCTGGAGTGCAATGGTACCACTATAGCTCACTGCAACTTTGAACTCCTGGAATCAAGGGATCCTCCTGCCTCCGCCTCTCAAGTAGCTGGAACTAAAGATGTATGCCACCAAGGCTGGATAATTTTTTTGTTGTTTGTTTTGGAGATGGGGGTCTTGCCATATTGCCCAGGCTGATCTGAAACTCCTGGCCTCAACTGATCCACCTTAGCCTCCTACATAGCTGGTAATATCTCAAAAACTGATAATTTAATATTTCCCAGTTAAATGTATAGGTAGTTTCTTTTATTTTGGATGATTTCTTCTTGTTAATTGTTTCATTAAAAGAAATTTTAATCTTACTTTATTAGGCCCAAAACTGGGCCATCCTATTGATTTTAAAAAGGGGGGAGTTATAATAAGTAGACCCAGCCGGGCGCGGTGGCTCACGCCTGTAATCCCAGCACTTTGGGAGGCCGAGGCGGGTGGATCACGAGGTCAAGAGATCGAGACCATCCTGGTCAACA